ATCTATCTATGCACCAACTACATGATGAAGGATGAACATTAATTGCATGGGAAAATTGCTGAATTTTCTCTTAACACTCCCCACCACCTGACATGACCTCAATCCTAGGTTTAGAAATACTGTTTATCATTTGAAAATGATACATCAAAATTGGAATTCTCAAGAAGAACTATTTAAATTATCACCATTAATACATTTTTGAAGTATAATTATGAATGTTACTTGAGGGATTTAGATAAACTTTTTTTTTTAATCTTGGATTTAGATAAACTTTGAAATTATTTCAGCAGCATAGAGAAGTTTTAATTCTGAACTAGTAAAGCTGTGTTCTTTATCAGATATCCTATACGCCAGAAATGTTTTAAGGTCCTAGACGATAGACAACCATATATTTTTCAAGCATACTCTGTTGACATCTATCTGATAAAAAAGGTTTATTTAGAACTTAAGAACATGGAAACTAGGTCTTAACTAGAAGAAATCATGTGATTTAAACACGTAAATATATATGTTTTTTTTATTTTGGCCTTCACCCATTTGAGTCCCAGAGGCAAAACTATTGTCCCCATTTCAGCAACTCTGTAACTAGTTAAGATTCACTGTTGGAGCGTAGTGAGTAGGAATGAATTTGAGTAACACATGGTTCTGGCTCAGGATTTTTTATGTCAGATACCAGCTACCAAACCAAACCAAACCCACTCCCATCGACTCAATTCTGACACATAGCAACCCTATAGGACAGAGTAGAACTGCCCCAAAGGGTTTCCAAGGCTGTAAATCTTTATGGAAGCAGACGGCCTCATCTTTCTCCATGGTGCAGCTGGGGGTTTTGATATTTTGGCTGGCAGTCAAATGCTTTACCCTCTGCACAACCAGCACTCCTTTGGATATCAACTAAGGACTCAGTTATTTAGCTTGTTTGAGTGAGGCTAGAGGAATCACTTCCAAGGTGGTTCACTCAAATGACTAGGAAGATAGTACTGATTATTATGGGAACCTATAGGTTTCTCCATAGGCCTTCTTGAGTGTTCTCTTCAAGTGGTGACAGTCTTCCTGTCAAGAGAGCAAGAAAGGCAGAAACCACATGCCTTTTCTGACCTTGCCTTGAAAGTCACACACTATCAGTTCAGCTGCATTCTATTGATTGCACAGGTCAACCCTGATTCAATATGGGGAGGACTAGGACTACAGGCGGATATAAATACCAGGAAACAAGCATCGTTGGGGTCATTTTGGAGTCTGGCTGCTACACATCTTGGAGTCTGGCTATATACGCTGGATACAGGATGACAAAAGTTTTGTATCTATAGTATGCAATAAATGCCTATAGATCAGTAATAAAAACAACCCAATTAAAAATGGGCAAAAGACATGAGCAGATACTTTTTCCAAGAAAGATACACAGTTGCAAATGAATAAAATAAGAAATTCTCAACCTTGGTCACTGGAAAATGCAAAATGAAATCACAGTGAGATATCACTGCGTATACACTATAACGGCCAAAATTTAAAATACTGGCAACAAAAATGTTGGTGATGATGTAGTACAACTGGAACTTTCATACTTTGATAGTAAGAGTAAAAAAAGTGTAAAAAATTGGGAAAAATTTTGACAGTTTCTTATACTGGGAAATACATACCATATTTTTCACAAATAGGTTGCGTAATAATGTTGATAACACACATTCCTAACACACTGGAGGTTGCACTGTTTGCAAAACCTGTATGCCATGCACATTATTTGCATGAAAGTTCAGTACCTAGCCTATGGTATAGCAGTTCTACTCTGAGATTTTACCCAAGAGAAATGAAAATAAGTGTTTTTAAAAGACATGGACAAGCATTTTCGTAGCAGCTTTATTCATAATATCCAAAAACTGAAAAGAACTTAAGTTTTTATTAGTAAGGAAATGAATAAATAGATTCATGCATTTTCCTGTATTTTTCCTTTAAAAGTCTTTAACAAATATTGAGCTCCAGTTGGGATGTGTGTTTTTTTCCAGAGATATGAATTAGCATTTCTGAAATTACTTTTTGTGTATTCTAAGCTTGAGCAAATGAATAAATATATTGAGGATAATGGAAAGCTGTTCTCACTATTAAAGAAGGAAGTTACAAATATGTAATGAAAAGACTAAATTGTGCCCTTACTATTAGAATGCAATTAAAGGTATCCATATGAATTCATAGTTTATAATTGATAGTTGGAAGACCGATAAATAACAGTATATGTATGTGGATGTGCATACACACATAACTCACACACATGCCAGCTTTGTCTCCTAAGTCCAAACCAAACCAAACTCAATGCTGTTGAGTCAATTCCAACTCATAGCGACCCCTCATTGGGTTTCTGAGGTGATATCTCTACAGAAGTAGATTGCCCAGTCTTCCTTCCGAGGAGTGGCTGGTAGGTTTGAACTGCCAGCTTTCTGGTTAGCAGTCAAATGCCTTAGGTACTACGCCACCAGAGCTCCCCGTCTTCTAAGAGAATCTAAAAACCACAATCATACCTCTCACCCTGATCTTGGTTGCAAAATATCATTCTCCACTGAAAGGGAGAAGGTCTCCTTACTGAAAAAGGTGTTCCAAGGCTGAGGCAGGAAAAGTACAAGATGAGTCTGGAGCATCTGGTTGTACCAGAAAGATAGAAGTGTCCAAAGATTTTTTTTTTTTTTTTTTAGTACTTCTGGTACAAGAAGATGTGCAAGGAAATGACACAAGACATAAGTATCCACTTGAAGGAGTCAAACTAGCCAAATATATAAGACAGTTTGAGGATTGAAATAAATATTAATAATAATGGGTCATAACCCATTAAATTAAAAAAAAAAAAAAAAAGATAAGTCTGTGCTGATATTAAGGAGCTATGGTGGCACTGTGGTTAAGGCATTAGGCTGTTAACCAAAAGGTTGGTGGTTTGGATCCACCAGCTGCTCCATGGGAGAAAGATGAGGCAATCTGCTTCTGTAAAGATTTACAGCCTTGGAAACCCTGTGGAATCACTATGAGTCAGAATCGACTTGATGGCAGTGGGTTTGGTTTATACAGATGTTAAAGCATTCAGCTGCTAACCAAATGATCATCAGTTCAAGGCAACTAGCCACTTCATGGGAAAAACATGAAGCAGTCTGCTTCCGTAAAGATTTACAGCCTTAGAAACCCTTTGGGGCAGTTCTCCTCTGTCCTGTAGGGTCACTATGAGTCGGAATTGACTTGATGGCAGTGGGTTTGGTTTTGCTTATACTGATAAAAAAGAAAGGAATAGTAAATGAAGGAGAAAGGAAAATTATTCTTTACAAGGAATGCCAACTAATAAATGTAGAAGGAATGATAGCATTGGAGAGTCAAATCAGTGCTAAAACCAGGTGAAAGCTTAATAGGAACAGGATGTTTATATAGTCTCAAAGCATCTCTTCACAAATTATTTTAAATAAAAGGAAAAAGACAGTAACTTTATGTTGGAGAATCAGGCTGATACCATCTTATCCAAATAATACTGGAACAGCCCAACTTCATATGCTTCTGGTGTTTATTGCACACTAAGAAAGACACATCACATCTATGACATTCCTGCTAAAAATGCATAATCTGAATCTAATCATGAGAAAACATGAGCCTAATCCAAATTAAGGCATATTCTACAAGATGTCTCACCTTTGCTTTTCAAAATTGGCCCAGTCCAGAAGGATAAAGAAAAGCTGTTCCAGGTTTATAGAGACTAAAAGAGCTATGACAATTAAATGCAGTGTATGGTCATGGATTAGATCCTAGAAAAGATAGCTGTAAAGAATATTATTGGGACAGCTGACTAAATTTAATATGGACTGAATTAGATAATAGTATGTCAATCATTGTTACATTTCTTGGTTTTAATAAATTTATACTGTAGTATGTGACAGAATGTCTTTGCTCTTTTGAAATATGTACCAAAGTACTTGGGTATAAAGGAGCTTGATATCTCCAGTTTACTTTCAAGTCATTACAGGCAAGGATATATATAATACACACAATGATAAAGTACATGAGGTAATAGTTAAACTATTGATGAATTTGTATAAAATATCCAGGGAATTCCTTATATGAATCTTACATCTTTCTGTGAGTTTGAAATTATATAAAAATTAAGAGTTACCAATAAAATTACATTTATCTTTTCATTATCTTCTGAACAGCGTGTTGTCCAGGTGATTGTTAGAAAAATAGTGTCTCATATGCTTCTTTGGCTTAACTGCACTGTTTCACTTTGTCCTTAGACTTTCTCCATTTCTGGCTTAAAAAATCCAAGAACCAAACCAGTTGTCATTGGATTGACTCTGACTCAACTTCTGGCTATCAATATATTAATTATTTTAATTGTTATAAAACGTTCTTCATAAATGTTTTCTTAATTAGTATTAAGTGTTCAGTTCCTGTACACCTTTATTGTTCTGGATAGTAATGGTGTACGTTCAGGGGCCTATTCTCATTTTATGTATTTTTTCCTATTCACATGTTTCACTTTTGCAGTACCTTGGATAATGTTTAAAAAAAAAAAAAGTAATGCTTTGTTTTATTGAGAAAATTTAAATATTAACTTCCCCCTGAGAAGCTTTGCTTTTCTAGTTCTTGACCAGTAGCTTTTGTCTGACATTACTGTTTATGCTCTTGGTAGAAGATTAAGTGTGCTGTGCTCATCTTTGTTGTCAGCACAAAGAACTAGTATCTAAATGCTGTCAGGCAGATTATGCCTGCTGTCAGCCACAAATGAAGTGAGAAAAGCCCTTTCTAAAATAGAATCTGCTATCAAAAGCTAGTACTACTTTGTTGGCATCCAGGATTTTTACCTGCCCCCTGTTACTGTCTCATACAAACAAGCAACTATCCAACAGAGGCTGTTTTGAATGGTTTTACTAAGGAAGTGATGCAAACTGACTTCATGATGATGCACTTGGGACTTGCATTTTCACTTGGCTAACCAGTTTTCTTTCCTTTGTGGTGTTTGATGGGATCTTCACTAGACAGAGGTAACCTGTCGGATAGCTATGTACCTGGATGCTGGTGTGTTGGGGCTTGTTGGTTTATTGTCATGATACTCCTCCTAAAGTTATGCTTGTAATGCTGCTGCTCATTTTCTGCTTGCATGACATTGTTACTTTGATTGTGCTTGGTTGGTTTGGGTTCTTAAAACCTTCTATTTCTTTTTTTGGTGCCCAGAATAACTCTGAACATCTTTGGTTGATCCAGAACTGTGCAAATCAGTTCCAGGTCTAACTCTTGGGTGGATCCTTTTCAGTTTTTTAAAATCTCTTCAATGTCACCACTAAGTTTATGGTTTGGCTAGGAATTCCAAAAACAGGATAGGTTTGTTTAAATACCAAGAACGGTTGCTAGACAGGCCACTAGTGAAGCTGAGAAAGGAAATATATATACTTAGAATAAAAGCTAAGTTTTAGGGGATTGTTTCATCAAATAGCTGAAGTTTAGGTGCCTCTACTAAAGTAACAGTAAATATGATTAAATTAATTCATGTCTAAATATTGGTGTGAATGTCTGATTTAACATATTTCAGAGATGCTGTTTACTCTACATAGGGGTCTGCATTCCCAAACTAAGATTTCTAGGGTTATAAAGTAAAAATTAAAATTCATATTTCAGACATTAGTTTTCTGAGCATTTATGTAGGCCTTATAAATAGTTGCTTACCTCTTCATTTCTCGTCACTAACAGTATAGTTTTTCTTGGATGGTTAGGACGGATTTCCTTTTAGTTTTTTCATTTGTTTATTTTTATTTATTTATTTATTACTATTTTATGACCTCTATAGAAGAAGGCAGATTTCTTTTTATACTAAGGAACAAAATCAATCCTGAAGTAGCCCTCTGTGTTTTAAATGGTAGCAGGTCATAAAATTGAAATTATTTTCCAATTTTTATATTAAGCCAGTGTTGAAAGAAAAAAGAAAAAAAACTTTTGTCTTACAGTTTTTAATCATCTTGAAAACTGTAAAGGATCCATTGATTGAAATGGCCGTCAGAGAAATGCTTGTGGTAAATAATATAAAACTGTCAGATAAATGATGGCTCATCTCCTACTATTTGTTTTCTAATTCAATTATGTTTGTTTTTGTTTTTGTTTTTTAATCTTTTTGTGGGACCTGTACATTTAATAGAAAATTTCCCAGGAACGAGAAAAATTTGCTGATGAAGGCAGCATATTTTACACCCTTGGAGAATGTGGCCTCATATCCTTTTCAGACTACATTTTCCTTACAACTGTTCTTTCCAGTAAGTATAAACTTTTCCTTTTATTTATTTGTGAGGAGCATATGGGATTATAAAAAGAATTAAGTTGGTTGGAGGGAGAAGACAAAAGTTGATAGAGTTAATTGTTTATAGATTTCATAAAATGTATTCGTTTTGAATTTTCTATAACATATATAGAACTACCTGAGAAGGGGAGAAAAATAGAATAAATATAAAGTTAAAACAAAAGCAACTGAGTTTCCATTTAGCTGTCTGAGCTGTCTTCTGTCGAGATGAACGAGATGAATTATGTATTGCCTATTCCTATAGCATTCATTAACGTTGCTGCTGTTGATGATACTTGCCATTGAGTTGATTGGCAATTCAATTCAACTCATGGTGACCCTGTGTTTGTGGAGTAGAACTATTCCATAGGATTTTCCAGGCTGTGACCTTTCAGAAGCAGATCTCCAGGCACCTCTGGATAGGTTTGAACTGCCAACCTTTCAGCTGGTAGTCAGGTGTTTAACCATTTGTGCCACCCAACCCAAAAAAAAAAAAAAAAAAAACAACTTAATGCCGTCGAGTCGAATCTGACCTATAACGACCCCTCTTTGGGTTTCTGAGGCAGTATCGCTACGGAAGTAGATTGCCCTATCTTCCTCCCGAGGAGTGGCTGGTGGGTTTGAACTTCTGATTAGCAGTCAGATGCCTTAGGCACTATGCCACCAGAGATTCCTTAATGTTACTAGTTCCCAATAAGACTCATACTAACCTATCATTTCCTTCCCTAAAGGACAAAATTTGCTTGGCTGTCCTAATTGTGTTGAATACTACTTTTTGAATCTTGGAGGAATATTTCTGTAGTCTCAAAACTCAAATTTGACTCATTCAGATCAATGATGAATTTCGGATATTCTTTAAGCTAAATAATTTTGCTTATTAATATACTATTGTGTTTCTAAATTTTACTTCCCTTTAGTGTGACTTGTATAACCATGCAGAAATAGAAAACAAAATGAATGTCCATAGCTAAATTTGTGTAAATTCTATTAATGTCTCCCTAAATTGAACGGAGCTCTGGTAGCATAGTGCCTAAGGCACTTGACTGCTAACCAGGAGGCTGGTGGTTCAAACCCACCAGCCACTCCTCGGAAGGAAGGTTGGGCAATCCTACTTCCGTAGTGATAACTGCCTCGGAAACCCAAGGAGGGGTCTCTAGGAGTCGGGGCCAACTTGACGGCACATAACAACAACAACAACAAATTGAACCAAAGATTTCAGATTTTTGTGTTTGAAAGAGATGATTCTCAACTTTGTCTACTTGAGACCTCTAACAAAATGAAAATGACCAGCTCTTCCTCCCCTTTTCCAAGCCAGTCATCTGTAAAGATGGAATTATAAGATAGTTTTTAATATATGACATACATAATTCCTGCCATAGTTATGGCCAGTTTTACCCTTCCTTCTGTGTGAAGATTGACAAGGAAATGAAGAAATAACTACTGTGCCTTTCCATGACTGTCTTTGGATACTAAAGTGTCTAAATAAATTCTTGTGGTAAATCAGTACACTAGCAAAGCAAATACACATTGATTAATTATGAAGATCCAAAACAGCTAAATACTAGCACATTTATCATCTTAAATTGTGCATTATTAGAGTTAGCTATTATTTTGGTAGGTAATGGGTTTGTGAGGCAGACTTTAGTTCACTTCTTAGCTTTGTGATTTGGAACAAGTCACTGTTCTTCTGATTCATCTATAAAATGAAGATGCCAACAATACTGACCCTGAATGACTGATTTGAAGGTTATGATATAACCTGGTTCAGTGCCTACCATTTAGTGATTATGCAGTCTGTCTTGGTTTTTAGTCTTGATATTCTGTTACCAGTTGCCATCCAGTTGACCACAACTCATGGTGACCCCATTTTTCTATGCATTCATCTAATTACTTTGGTGGACAGTAAGGGCCTTCCTTGAAATTTCTAACTGAAAACCAGCCAAAGCAATGCAAAGGGTGTCAGTCAAATGATGTAGGATTATTATATTTCTGAGTATATGTTTTCTTTCCAAGTCAATGACATCAGTGATTCAGGAAATCTCTGTCATTTTGAAGAGAAGAATATGAACACTCCAAACTAATAAATTGACCCTTGGAACCTCAAAGTGATTTACAAATTCTTCTATGTTGTCTAAAAATAAAATTTGGCAATTATATATAACAAATCACTTGTTTCCTTTCCCAAATAATAACTACATCTCTTCAAAATAAATTTAAGATATGCTGCTTTTGCAAAGAAGGCATGTTATACAATACAACTTCCCCATTAAATAGAATTGGTTCTTCTTATTTTAAGTTTTCAGGAGTTTGATTTTTTTTAATTAAACAAGAGTTTTTATTATACACAAAACTAAGAATAATAACTAATTTTGCATAAACGTTTACAGTAAGCAATGGCATGAATTTCTTACTCTTCTCTGTACGTGCAGACACGTCTCTGATTCAGATAATGGAGGCCTTCCCACACGCACACTTACACATACATACTTCTTGAATTCCTTTTCTGCTTTATTTTCTCCTTGAAACCTATTACTGTGTAACACTCTACATAACTTATTTCTTTATGTTGCTTATTGTTCTTCTTGCCACCTAGAATATGAACTACTTAAAGTAGGTTTATAGGTATTGAGTGAGAATATACATGCATAGTTATTAATGATTTAATTCTCAGTGCTAACCAACTTCAGCATTAACTGGTAATCAGTGATTTTTCTCTATAGCTAGGTGTAGAGAAGGGTCATAAGGATTTATCTTGAGTGCTAAATATTATTTATTGATTTGGATCATTCTTGCTGATGCTAAGATTCACTATGATGATATAACTTAAAATCTGGATCTTGGCCATTGACTGTTATGAAACATTGATTTTGTGCTCTTTGTCTTTGTGTGTATTTTAACTAAAATTATTAACCTTATGGTCTAATTGCATGAAAACAATTTTATTTGCTTAATGGAGCAATAGGTAGGCAGTAATAAAATGCTTATAAAAGTTGATTGTTGACATTTTTCTTACTGTTTACTATTAATATTTGAAAAGCCACTTGGAATGTCAAAGGTAGAAAATTCTATAGCGTGTTCAATACCAAAGGCTTTAAAATTTTGGGGGTGGGCCTAATAAAAATCAGGCATAATTCAATGTATTCTAATTTGGATTCCTTCTTCAGATTTCAGGGCATCAGTGCAGAAATTGAATTCATTGGGTTTCACTACAACTGGAAGTGGTTATACTGAAAATTAATTAGCATCATTCTTGTGATGCATCTTTCTCACAAAAATATATATTTTGAGAAATCACAATAGTACTGGTATGAAATTTTATATTTCTTTTATCTTACCTTACTGAAGTCAAGAGCAGATCACAAAGTATATGTGACTTGGAGAGAATGATGCTGATCATTGCCATTCCATCTCATGAAAATGTTATAGATGAAAACAGTTTTTTTTAGGTTGAAAACCTTCCCATTGACAGATGTGGCCAAGGCAAACAACTGAGATCTAGCAACAGATTGAAGACAGTTACAAATCTTTTTTATTGGTACATCAGAGTTAGAGAAGTTATAGAGACCATTTGGTTTAGCAATTATTATTTTTTATGTTTGGGCATATTTGCCATTGCTAAATTAACATCATGAAGAGTAAGACAAAGCAGATGAAAGGCTAATCTTTGTCAGTGTTAATTCAGCTGATAAGAGAGGGTTAGAATCAGTTTACCAATAACTTCCTTCTCTAGCAATGATTAATTAATTATAATTAATTCATTGATTTTATGAAAATATCTCTGTCAAAACAGTAAAATAGTGCTTTTACGTGTATCAAGTGTTTATTTTTAGATTTTTAAAAAAAAAAATCATTGCGGTCAAGTCAATTCTAGCTCATATCTCCTTGGAAGCGAGAATGAGTGGTCAGACTTTGTCTCACCTACTTTGGTCATGTTGTCAGAAGGGACCATTCCTTGAAGAAAGACATCATGCTTGGTAAAGTATGTTGTTGTTGTTGTTAGTGCTGTTGAGTCAGAGCTGACTCATAGGGACCCCTTCTTGGGTTTCCGAGGAGGTACCACTACAGAAGTAGATTGCTCAACCTTCCTTCTGAGGAATGGCTGGTGAGTTTGAACCACCAGCCTTCTAGTTAGCAGTCAAGTGCCTTAGGCACTACACTACCAGAGCTCCTTAGTAAAGTATAGGGTCAGCGAAAAAAGAGAAGACCCTCAACAAGATAGATTGACACAGTGGCTATGGTGATGGACTCAAGCATAGCAAGGATTGTGAGGAAGGTGCAGGACCAGGCAATGTTTTGTTCTATCGTATATAGGGTCGCTATAGTTGGAACCAACTTGACAGCACCTAACAACAACAACATAGACTTTCCAAGCCTGTAATCTTTATAGAAACGGATTATTACATCTTTCTCTTGTGAAACATGCTGATAGGTTTGAATGCCAACATTTCAGTTAGCAGCCAAACACCTTAATCACTATACCACCAAAGCTCCTTGGTTACTTAGTATACCAAAAAACCAAACTCACTGCCATCGAGTCGGATCCGACTCGTAGCAACCCCTCCTTGGGTTTCCAAGGCAGTATCACTATGGAAGTAGATCACCCAGTCTTCCTTCTGAGGAGTGGCTGGTGGGTTTGAACCGCCAGCCTTCTGGTTAGCAGTCAGATGCCTTAGGCGCTATGCTAGTATACATACTAAAACTTTATATTGTTCTGTGTACCCTCAGCATCCTGCCTAGTATTTAAAAACTGTTTAAAAATAATAGTTACACAAGTGCTGGTGAGGATGTGGAGAGATTGAAACTCTGATACACTGCTTGTGGGACTCTAAAATGATACACCCACTATGGAAATCAGTATGTTGTTGTTGTTGTTGTGTGCCGTCGAGTCAGCCCTGACTCATAGCGACCCCTCCTTGGGTTTCCAAGGCAGTATCACTACGGAAGTAGGATTGCCCAACCTTCCTTCCGAGGAGTGGC